ATGCTGTTCACTGCACTGTTTGGTCGTTAACTTTTCGCGTTGCTCTGATGTAATTTTGTTCTTTTTCGTTTTTTCAAGTTTTATTATAATCATTATTGCCTTAGGCAGCATTTGATAAAGTTAGCGTGCTTTTGCTAATGTGACTCAATTTTCTCGGTATTTGGAGAAAAAAAATTAGCTGGGTAAGAGTTGACTGGCACCTTTGTATTTCATTTTTATTTGTTGGTGGCTAATTTGGTCGCTTGCCCAATATTCCATTACAGCATCATGGAGAGGTAACGTCGATAGCCACAATTTATACAGACGTATCGACTCGCTTTGCTCAATTTTTCAATCAGAGATGACATGGACAAATGCAAGAAAAATGTTCGTCAGAATTCATTTTTTAATCTTTCATCGGACGTTTTAGTCCGGCGTTTCTTACGTGCTATGTTGATGCTTTTGTCCAGCCACAATGCTCGAAGACTTTGAGTAAAGATTTTGTTGCACACACAAAAATGTTGACGTTGTGTTATCTATTGATATTTTCTAAGACCTTGAGCAGAGTACATCTGACGGCAAAAAAATCCTGGTGAATCAAAAGACTCAAGAGGCAGAACAATAGCTCCGCGCGTGTTTAAGACGCAAAACGTGAAATAAACATATTTTGCACGTTCAAATGACGAGAACCCCAACACGGCGCTACCACAGCGTGCCCCCCAGTTGCACGGAGAAAATCTGAAACTGGCGTCTTTGTTGGTTTTGCCGTCACGATTGCTTAAGCTCTCTGAATTATCCTCGTTGAAGGCACTTATGTACTATTTCATCTTTTGATATTAGAGGCAATTCATTCTTTTGCTTGCAACACCTGATGAGAGTTGTAATATATTCCGTATACGTAAAAGCGGACCGGTAGATCTTACAAAATAATTCAGTTAGTTGTACCGGGCATTTTCCGGCAAGATTAAAACAGGATGTTCCTGAAAATAGAGACTCTATCCCCGGTCTCCTTCTTCCTCCTCCTCCTCCCCCTCTTTAGGGACCTTAAGCAAACCACGACGGCGGCGGCAACGAGGGCGTGGAAAAACAAAAGATCTAATTGGCCGAACAATAGCTCAGCACGTGCGTTTTCAAACTTAGTAGGTTTCTTAGCCGTCCTTTGCAAAACAACAACGTGAAATCAGCAAAATTTGCGTCGTCTGTGGATAGAAACTGCGACGGCAAATTTTTTTA